AAAATGTAAAAATTCGAAGGACGCTATTATTAATCACGAAAGTTATTCAGAATCTTGCAAATAACGTACTTTTTGGCGCAAAAGAACCTTTTATGATTGTTCTTAACGAGTTTTTAAATGATAATATTGTTAAAGTAACTGCATTCTTGGAAGAAATTTCTGTAAGTATCAGTACACAAAATCACATTCAAAGATTATATGATTCATTTATTTCTTAATTTTATTCCATAGAAATTGCCAAATATTCCATCGTTCTCAGATACAAGGACAGGTGATCAAGGCAATATTCGTAAGTTGGATGAGACCGATCGAAAGGCGCTTCATAAGTATTTAATTGAAAACCAAGAAAAAATGGCCAAAGATTTACAAACGCGTAGAGTTAAATCTATAAATCCTGCTAGTTCCGCAAATATTATACTTGATCAGGCTCAAACAAGCAAAAAAGCATGGGATAAAATTTCTACATTACTAGCTCATCTTGGTCCTCCAGCTGAGAGTCAAAAGAAAGACTTGTTTCAGAGCAATAATAATCGTCATTTTGAGACAAATCATCAGCTTTTCACTGAATTTATGCATCGAAATGCTAATCGTTCAGTTGATTCTATAATATCAAAATCATTATTTTATGATGGTGCCTTATCAAAGGTTCGTGAGAAATGAGAATAATAACCCAAATATATTGAGTTAACGTGTTTTTCTTATTTAGGAAAGGAGGCAAGTGTTTTATTTAATATTAAGACGATTTGAGGCAGAGTCCACTGATATGGATCTCTTAATGTATCATATTCTTCAAGTATGTAGATTGGTTCATTTTCTATTGTTATGCCCTCATTCCAGTAATATTATTTGACAAACATGTTTATTGTAGGTAATTGAACCATATATCTCTAAACCATACGAACTGCTGGTTGATGTTACACAATTTGGACAAGCAAATGAAGTACAATCCCAATGGGTGCAACAATTCATGCAAATTCTTCCATTTAATGCCATCGAAAATCTAGCAGCTTTATATTTCTATAATCCAAATAGTTCTTTCAAGAAATTTATTAAAAAATTAGGAAATATCCTTTTATAATCAAATTATTGTTTGAAAATTACTTGATTTTTATCTATTATCTTTGACTTCAATGTCTTAATACAATCATTGCCCAGCAAAATTAGCAAGAGAACGCATTTTTTGCTGATACTGGCAAAAGAGCTGCTAGATATCCTAACATACTAGAATCTATTGTATTATTATTCGCTCGTTCACCTAAAACACCTTTTGAAGCAATGTCCAAGAAACATGTAAGT